AATATTTATGAATATATTCTAATGGGATGATATTTATCAAATTTTGAAAAGGATATCTAAATGACAAAATGATATCTTTTGTTTTTAAAATTGAATATGAGCTTGCTTGGTGCACGAAAGACAAGATTGTAGCCGGGCTGGAAATACATTAGACATGGCCTCATCCATATCTGGTTGCCTCGGAACCTCTCAACCATATACTACATCATGCATATTGCCGCCAGCCAATGACATGACCCTGGCATTTGGAGACTCTTCCGTAAGCGGGTCCTACGTTGCTGCTCCGATGTATATATTACGCGTCTACATACTTTTGCAGACGTAGATTTTTGTGAATCTTCGTGATTCTTCCAGCCATCGAAATTTTACTAGGATTCCTGAAATCCATATTGACATGAAGCTCCCTTCCAGCTCTACAAGCCCCAGCCCTGGCAATGCCACATGATACAAGCATCCAACGATGGTGGGCCCCACTGCAGCACAGACTCCTTGTCGCGACTGCAATGCAAGCATGACTGTAGCGTTTTGCGCGTTGTCAGCTGACTTCTGTCAGGTCTGGATGTGCCTTACAACAGATTGGCTGGAGATTTGTATGCGTTACAAAGTATGCTCTAGCTTGTGCCTGCCTGGGTGGGCTTCCCTCGCTCAACGCCTGATACATGCTCCAAGCACGAAAGCGAAGCTTTTGACATGGACAGCTTGCCTCGCTCCTCTGCTTCCTGCAGCTGCGGCAGCAAATTAGAAGCAATATCACTTTGATTTGAAAATCTCTACATGCAGTCAAGTTGCAAGTTTCTGTCGCTTCCAGGGCGGATCAGTCTTCTCTGATGATGCCTATGGAAGCTTCAAGGTAATCGCAAGTTCAGTCTATTGCCGTGTCACAGCTCCAATGCAACCTCATGCACCGCCTGTGCCACCCTTGGTGGTCGCTCATTGTCCTCGAAAGGACTTGTGGCAGAGTCAAAAGAGAACTCCAGACTTTGAGCTTGCCTGGACGCTTGGAGTAGCTGAGTCCAGGCAGCGTTTCCTGCGCTCACAAACATCCATGTTGGCGGCCTCTGCATTTTTAGCCATTGTGCTAACCGGGGTGCTCACCACAACTCCAAAGCCGCGAGAAATCTTCGCATCCACGCTATTCTGTCAGCCTTGCATCTTTCTTGGTGCGAAGCTGCTTCACGCAATGCCCGACCTGCCTCTGTAACAACCACGGGCTGCTGCTGCACCTCCAGAAACCGTCGGAATCATTTTTTGTCTGCTATGAAATTGTTGCACTTGCTGCAACCCGGCCTGCACACCTGACAACCTGTCATGGGCAAAAAGGTGACATGCAATCAGCTTTGAAGAAACCAGCTTGCAGGAGCACCTGGAGGCATGAGAAGCAGGCCCTGCAGTATCAGGCAAGCTTCCAGAAAACCAATGCCAACTTTGAAGGTAGCTGACACCTCAATGTTAGCAGGGTGGGGCGTGTCCCCCTATCTGGCCCTATCTTCGAATCTAATCTAAATATAACTGTCAAAGCCCTGGGCAGGGAGTTGCAGGGGCTCCCCTCTCCAGCCGGGTCGCGCCGGAAGCCACCCCCATCCCGCCCCATTTCCTCTCCAGCGTTCAAGTTGGCGGCTGCAGCACAGACGCAAGCTCCTCCCACCCCTGCACCGCTTCATCCCACTTGTCCTGGCATCTAGCTATCCTCATGACATGCCTTTACGTCCCCCTTAAAGGAACTGGCTGTGGCGGAACTCAAGCTATGCCTTCCTGCTCTAGCCCCGCTTCACTCAACTTCTTGACCCTTCCCCCTCCCCTACCTTCGCCCCGTTCTTTCCTATTGTTCAAGACTGCAGTACAGGCTTTCCCCACCCCCAACCCCCTCGCGCGCGCATCTTTTTGACACCCCCCTACAAGGGGTAACCTGTGCGTTATTGTCCTCGCAACGTACGGCAAAGTGGTCAGGTGGTACTCAAGCACAAAGGTGCTTATAGCCCTCAGACTAGAACCTTCAACACAGGGACATCATATTATGGTAAACTCCAAACCC